ACCCTTTTATGTAATGGTGTTTACTTTGAATTTATATTAGTTCACACAAACACTCCATCCATGCTTTTGTTCCGGCCCTCCGGTCCAGTTTAAGAACCCATTGTGGCCCTCGAGTCAAAAAGTTTGCCCACCCCTGGTTTAGACCCTTTAACTGTTGCATCCTTAGTAGCTCTGACCCAGTCAAGCCATTCATGAGTAGACGAAGCATAAGAAACCAGATTTGAGAAGTGGAAGCAGGAAGAGACTCAGACTCATTTCTAGTAACAAAATTGCCTCCCCATGAGGAGAAAAGGGTGTCTGGGAGGGAGGCAGAGCAGAGAGCAGCAGGCAGGTGGCCACAGCCGTGGGACCCCAGAGGCTGGGCGTTAGGATGGACATGAGAACAAACATTTTGAGCTGGTTGATGTGCCATCTTTTATGAGTAATTTAATAATAATTTGTGCAGTTACTGCTGAGAAATTCACGGTTATAAATTAGGCCAGGTGTAAAGGCTAGTCATTAAAAGATTTTGTTAAAAGAAACTGCATTTTTGAAATTCTTCTGTAGTTTCATAATACACAGCACCTAAGGTCAGGGTAGAGAGCGTGCGTGCTAACTGCCCCCTGAACCAGCCACCGCTGAGAAGGGGCAGTAAGTCACATCCACCGAGATGTGCCAGGATGTTCACCTGTCCTCTGCCCATTAATGTCGCTCTGAGCTCCAACAGGAGATCAGTTTCTATTCTCCAGGACATTCGAGGTTCTTGTTTAGGGTTTCAGAGACTTGTGACGTAGGAACTGCAATTGCTGTGCTGATGTGCTCTTAATACAGATATACGGATACAATTTTGCAGAAATCACTGAGAAAATGAGACTCACTGTACTAGGGCTGTTTCCCTGCCAACTTCCCTTGAATGGCTACATCTATCCTGTGCAATGATACACGGCATTTTTATTTCAATGTGAGGAGACTGGCAAAACCCAGTGTCTTCATGGTCCTCTGTGCTTCCCTTGAGCTCACCAAGCTCACAGGGCCCAGAGCGCCTTTGGGCAGCAACACAGGCAAGGTCCCACCGTGGACGGCATACTCACCTGCAGCTGGCTCATTGGCAGAGCTGTCGCCTCACTGCCCTTTGCATTTTATAAACACTAGCACTTACTGAGTACTTGCCATGTGCAAGGTACTCCGCTAAACACTGACATAAATTCCAGAGCCACACAACCTTGAAAGCATTGTGCTGAACGAAAGAAGTCAATGCCAAAGGGCACACATTATTTGATTCTCCTTATGTGAAGTAAGCCCTTAGAAACAGAACATAGACTGGTGGTTGCCCAGGGTTTGGTGGCGGGGGTGGGGGGGGGTGTGGGTAGGGGTTACGGGGTTCATTTTGGGGGTGATGAAAATGTTCTGGAAAAAAAAAGAAAATGTTCTGGAACTAGATAATGGAACTATACCTTTGAACTGTTCATGTTCAAAGGGTGAATTTTATGATATGGGAATTGTATCTCATTAAAACAAGCAAAATGCCCTAAATATCCTTAGGATGCAGGACCTATTATCATCTCTTCCTATTATAAATGAGCATCTTGAGTCTAAAAGGAATCCTAAAACCTGCCAGCAGTCATACAGGTGAGTGCAAGCTATGATTCTGTCCAAATTCAGTGTCCGGCTCCTACCAACTCCTCGACCTACAATCACAGACTCATATGAGGCCTAAAAGAGCAGGGTCCTGCCATCTGCTGCTTGAATTCCCCAATAACATTCTCACCAAGAGGCCACCAGTGGCTTCAAGACTTCCAAGGACGGAGAAGTTACTCCAGAGTATTTTGTCTTACGTGATGGGCTCCAACTCTACCTGACAAGCCTCCAAAGGAGTCAGTACAGGTTTCTGCCTGACATTTCTTATCCAGCATCCTCATCTTCTCTATTGGTACCAGCTGAAATGTCAGCGTTCATGCCCACCCGCCTGCCATTTAGAGGGTGCGTGTGACCCTCATGACCACTGGTCCCCACCACAGCAGCTAAATGGGAAGCTGTCTTCTAGGCCAGGGGGAAGCAGAACCCCAGCCCTAGCCCTGCAGGTTTTCCCACTCCCAGCAGCTGTCCAGCACAGCTCCAGAGTGGCGTGGAGAAAGCTCAAGGCGCTCCTCTCTGTCTCAGAGCCCTGGATGTTCTCTAAGACAGTCCCAGCCATCAGCAGGCTGGCCCTTGGTGGCTCCCAGGCAAAACAGTCCCAGCAAGGTGCTTGCACCTCCCAGGGAGGCTTGGAGAAGCACCTGGCTTTCCGGGGCATCTGAACAGCGCACCCCATGGATGCCCTCTGCTACCTCCTTGGAATTTGTAATTACTTCAAATGGAAAGGTGAAAAGCCAGGTGGGCCAGGTGCTCTGGAGCAAGGCTGCTCCAGATAGCACTCCTCACCTCCCACCAGGGCTATTCAAGCTCTGGGCTCTGCTCCTGGCTGGCGCCCTCTTCCCACTAGCCTACCTAAAACCCTCTTACCAGCCTAGGCCTGTCCCAGCTCCCAGGCCTCCTCAGAAGGCCTGTCAAATGCAGCTCCCACTTCATTCATTCACCAGGTATGAGTCATCTATAGAGCCTGCAGCCCCGCTAGGACCAGGAGAAACAGGAGACCTGTAGACGGGGCCATCAGGAGAGCCTCTGAGATCAGGTACACAGGCAGCAGGCTTGGGAGGGGCTCCAGTCCTCCAAGAACTCTGCCACCTTCCAGGCTCCCAGACCCAGAGAAACTGGAGATTAGATGAGCTGTGTACTCACATCTTGATGCTTCCCAGTGAAGAAGCAGCCCTACAAGGGGTCCTATAAGCATTGGACCCTGCCCACCTTGGGGCAAGCCACTCCATGGCTGATGCACAGGAGGAGGGGCAGCAGCTGCTGGACTCCAGGTAGGTGGCCCCACCCATCTGCCTCGGGCACTAGGCTCCAGGAGAAGAGGGCCTGGAAGGGCTGGAGTCCCTCCTCAGGGTTTGCTTGAGATGGGAGGGTGAAGGGACGAGTGGAGGCAGAGATCCAGATCCAAAGGAAACACAGAGACAGATGCTTTGCCAGACAGATGTGCAAAGCCAGGACTCCCATTCCACAGGCCAGGCAAATGGAACCGCAGAGCAAAGTACAGGCTGAGCACACCCAGACACTCACCTGCATAAAGGTGTGACATTCAGTCACAAAACTCCCTTTGGTGATCTCCTTGAACTTTTCACAGATGTCTGCAAAACTGGTGGCTTCCAAAATAAAAGCCTGATGTTGCTTAATCAGGGTCAGAGCCACCCGGAAGATAATCTTTGAGCCTTCGTTGAACAAACAATCCCAGATTCGAAGCACCGTCTGCAGAGAAACAGACATGGCGCATCACTGCACGGTGATCTGAGCCAGCCCTGGGCCCAGCGAGGCTTGCGACATGCTCACCTCCACGGGCAGGATGTCCACAAACAGGCAGATGAACCAGCGTGACACGACCAGAGTCCACAGGACGCCATGCCCGTCCATCAGGGCCGCCACTGCTGGCAGCTTGGTCCTCACCAGCTCCCCCAGGACCTCCTGGTCCGTCTTCAGGCCCAGCATCTCAGGGCTGTAGTAATCTGCCACAGGGATGAAGAGAAAAACCCAAAAATGTGTATCACTTGTTCCACAACCACAGCCCCTGACAGCCTCAACCCTCGTTCCCTCTCAGCCAGGGAAAGAAAACAGGGCTGTCCCCAGAGGATCCTTTCTAGAAGAGAGGAGGGCAAGGTTAGAGGGAGGACCAGGGAGAGATGCCATGCCGTGTGGATAAAGGGACTCCTGGGAGTGATTCCCAAAGCAAGGCCCCCTGGGATCCCTGGGGGCTCTGGACAGTGAGGCCCTGGTGGGCATTGGTTAAAATCGGCTGGCAGAAAGAAGGAGTGTTTACACACCCATGCTCATAGCAGGATTATTCACAACAGCCAAAAAAGTACATAACCAAGCGTCTGCCTATGGATAATGTGGTCTACACACATAATGGAGTATGATTCTGCCTTTAAAAGGAGGGAAACTGACATGTCCAACAATAGGATGAAGCTCGAGGACATTGTGCTAAGTGAAATAAGCCAGCCACAAACAAACAAATACTACATGATTCCACTTATGTGAGATGCCTAGAGCCTCCGAAATCAGACAGAAAGTAGAATGGTGGGTGCTGGAAGAAGGGAGTGGGGAGCTGTTATTTAATGGGGACAGAGTTCCATTCGGGAAGATGAGAAAATTCTGGAGGTGGATGGTGGTGATGGTTACACAACAATGTGAATGCGCTTGATGCCACTGAACTGTATACTTAAAAATGGTAAAGATTGTTGCCCTGGCCGATGTGGCTCAGTTGGTTAGGCATTGTCCTGTGCACCAAAAGGTTGCCAATCCGTCTCCTGGTCAGAGCACATGCCTAGGTTGTGGCACTATCCTGGTAGGGGGGTGCAGGAGGCAGTCGATTGATGTTTCACTCTTACATTGATGTTTCTCTTTCTCTCCCTCTCCCTATCTCCCAAAAAATCAATATAAAATATCTTTTAAAAATGATAAAGATTGTAAATATCATATTATGTGTATTTTATCACAATAAAAAATAAAACTTTAAAAATCTGCAGGTGACAGCTGCCTTTCCCTGTCATCCAGACTGAGGGAGAGCCCAGCAGCCACGGACATGCCGCCCTTGGTGGCTCTGCCCACCCGGACTAAGGGAGGCTGGGGGCGCGGGAGGAGCAGGCATAGGGCCACCTGAGCTGCAGGGACAGCACTGCCTGCAGCAAGCTCCTTCCTGGGAGCCAGAGAAGCTTCAGGGTCGAGGTGGCCCATGGAGGATGAGGGAGCAGGCACAAGCGAGCCTGACCCCAGTGCCCACGTGGTGCCATTGTGCCACCCCCTACATACACGGAGTAAGGAGAGGTGGGGCTCGAAGCAGCTGGTCCCTCTACATCGTCCCTCTGCATCCACTGCCTCCCCAGAGTGGAGGGTTTAGGTACACAAATTAGTGTCACAAAACATTATTTTTAAAAATTTGGCCTAGCCCTGACCGGTTTGGCTCAGTGGATAAAGCGTCGGCCTGCAGACTAACGGGTCCCCAGTTTGATTGGTTCGATTCTGGTCAAGGGCATGTACCTTGGTTGCGGGCACAGCCCCAGCTGTGGGTGTGCAGGAGGCAGCTGATCGATGTTTCTCTCTCATCGATGTTTCTTACTCTATCTCTCTCCCTTCCTCTCTGTAAAAAATCAATAAAATATCTTTAAAAAAATTTTTGGCCTAAATCATAAATTTCTAATCCCACAGCTGGTTGGTGAAACATGTGCCCTTGATGGGGTGGACTTGGGATTTCAAGGACAGTGGCTGCCCCAGCCATGATGGCTTCTCCAGCATCATGCCAATGCCTCCCGAGCATCCTGGGGTCCTCTGAGCATGGCCACACTCTTCCTTCTTTACTGGTGTTTTTTGTTGTTGTTATGAAGGTGATACATGCCTCTGATAAAGTTGAACACTACAGGAGAGTAGCAGGTGAAAAGTCAAAGTCGTCCCCTAGGTAACCACTTATCACTAAGCAGTCTGATGGGCCTCCTCCATACTTGTAATGCCATGTCACACATGGACATATCTTGCAAATAGGACCCTGTCATACATCCCTTTGCAAACTTCCCCAACACCTTTCTGCATCCTCATGTACATGGCCTGCCCTCTGGTGAGGTGCCTTCGCAGGGATATGCCATAACCCACTTCAGTGGCTCCTGGCTGATGGGCGTTCAGGCACTGTCAACCCACATGCGTGTGCTCACGTGTGCAGGGGAATGTCTACACATAGAGCTGCTGGTGAAGGCTCTCTTCACTGAAGTCTCAAGGAGTCCTACATGCTTCTTCCAACTTGAGGGCGGAGGACACTTCATTCTATTTACCGGAAATTCTAGAAGGATCTAAATGTCCCCACCACGCTGAATACAGAAAGGCAGAGACAATATTAAGTCTAAAATTGTTCTTGTTCATTCCCAAAGAAGGCTGACAACTTAATTTGGAAAATTTTCTTTTACTCTAGTAGCTTGGGGACCCCAGGCTGTCAAAACATGGAAAGCACAACCCGCTAAGGCGACCTCATGGTCGCTCTGCTTCTCCCATCAGGGCCCTGAGCACCGGAGGGCAGCCAGCAGTCCCTACAGCTCTGTGACCACTCGCTCAACAGACAGAAAGACCAACACTGCCAAGAGCATGTCCATCTTTTGACTGGACATTTGCCTTGCCAAAAAAATTTCCTAGCTTCTTAGTGTGATGTATTATAATAATTTTAACGCCTAACTTCTGCTATAAAAATGTAGCAGGTAATCTATGCAATAGAATAGACACATTCAGCATGCCGCCCAGTCTCTCACCATGGCAAATGAAATATTTTGGTTAAAATAGTCATCATAAATATTGACACAATATCACAGTCACATTGCTAGTTTTCAAAGAGTAAGCTACAATAAACTGTTTAATACTGAAAATAATTTAATAGAAGCCAATTTGGTTATAAAACACCAGGGATTTAAAAAAAAATTCTTCCCTTTCATACATTTGGAAACTTGGAGCCATTTACTCTCTTTCTCCTTTTTAATTCGGCAATATTCTGCTCCATTTGGGAAGAAAGAAGCAGAGATTCTCTGTTCTCCGTTCGAGAGTGTCTTCAGTGCCAACCCAGTTATACGAGGGACATCTGAGAGGGAGCCGGGTCCAGGCGCAGCAGTGATAAGAGGATTTGCCCAGAAGGACATTTAAGCTGTGAGCACAGCACGACCTTCTTGGTTACAGAGACGCTTACAGTAGCTTCCAAAAATAGATGTCAGAGTCACACACCACAGGCCTGAGCCGGTCACCAGGGGAGATCCCTGAAGCCCTCTGTACCTACTTTCCCTCCTCGATGCATTCTGCCCTTGAATGTCGCAGGCGAGACAAACCAGTTCCCTGGAGGTCCCGCCTGCAGCACAGCCCTACCTGTCTGAGCTGAGGAGCACCTGACAGGGCACATTCCACTCTGCACAGGGACAGATAAATCCTAGGTAGGCCCTGAACTGACTCACCTGTCTGGGGCCCCTACTTACGCTTCTCCTGGGGACATTCACCTAGGCAGACAGCACAATGGCTGTGTCAGACACTGGAAGACTAAATGCTGCTGCGGGGGCAGGGCCGCTGCTGGGGTGCTGTCTGGGGTGTGGGAGCTGCTGTGGGGGTGGGGTGTACAGATTTAAAGCGTGCCCGTGGTTATTGCTACGTGAGTAGAAAGTGGTAGAGCTGGGTCCTGGCTGGTTTGGCTCCATGGATAGAGCACTGGCCTGTGGACTGAAGGGTCCCGGGTTTGATTCTGGTCCAGGGCAAATGCCCGGGTTGTGGGAGGCAGCCGATCAATGATTTTCTCTCATCATTGATGTTTCTATCTCTCTCTCCCTCTCCCTTTCTCTCTGAAATCAATAAAAACATCTTAAATAAAAAAGAAAAGAAGAAAGTGGTAGAGTTGGGATTCAAACCCGTGAAGTCTAATTTCCAAATGGATGCTGTTCAGGCCAGGGATGAATGTCAGCCTGTGAAAAAGCAAACACCGGTCCCCACAGGAGTAGAGCACAGGCTGTGGAATACTATGGAGGAGACCCTGTGGGTAAGTTAATCAAGAGAACACAAGAAACACATCCTCCAGTGCAGCTGCGACAAAGAGAGTCCGGTGCTCCTCAGCCTGCTCCACCTTTGCTCCTAAGGGTCTGTGGGCCTCCCCCCGCCCCCCGCCCCCCTCCAACGTGCCTTATCAATCCTCATCTCGGCCACACCTTCTCGCTTGAGCTGGGTTATTCTGTGATGAGCAATTAACAGCCTGTTTCCCTGTGTTTCAACGGAAAACAGGTTTGACCAGCTTTTCAGGATGCTAATATATCATTAGTTCATTATTGCACTGATTCATTACTGGAGGCAATTACCCCCTTTACTTCTTGAAGTAGGATGGGCACCATTAGCACTAGGGGCTCGGAGCCTGGTCCTGGCCTCGCTTCTCTGCAAGGCTCAGGAATCCTCTTCTATCCACAAAGTGAATCTGCTTTTTCTTTTGCATCAGATGCCTTGGTGTGAGTGGTGTCTAATCAGAAGAGCCACCACCGGTTCCCAGGAGGTCTGCTGGAGACTGCATTCTCGGTATAGATGTATGGAGGCCAAGTTTAGCATGCATTGTTTGCTAGTGCTTTGTTGCTTTGGGACCATAAGAGGCATTTAAGTGTAAAAGTGAAATCCTTTAAGTAAACCTTATATGAGTGACTTAACTTTTGTACAACTCCTAGAGGTGGTAGTGCCCGAGGAAGGCTCCTGAGGCCAGCAAGGCGTGCACAGGACCATGAGTTCTGTGATTTTGTACTCTGCTCTGCGTCCTCTGTGAGAAGTCCACAACACAATGTTGTCTTCGGTCCTAACACTGACTTTTACCCCATTTCCACTGCTCTGAAATTGGGATGTCACTTGCCTAGAAGTGGTGGTCGTCAGGTGGCTATGCTGGCTTTGACATCCTACGTCAGTGCTGTTTAAATCTGCATTTCCTTGCTCACAGGAGAACTTGGTCATCTCTTCGTAACTTTGTTGGCCATTCAGGTTTCCTATTTTGTAAAGTGCCTATCTGCTTTTTCACAAAAGTCTGAATCCATCTGGAATAGAAATAAGGATCTAATTTTGTCTTCTTCCATATAGATAGTCAATTGTCACCAAATGATATTTCAAATAGTCTTTCTTTTCCCCATTAATTGAGACATCTCACATAGATTCTAATAGATTAATAGGTCAGTAGACCAGTTGACTTCTGGCCTCTTTTCTATGTATATATCAATACGCTAATATCACACAATTTAATTATTATAGCATTATAATAAATCTCCAGTATTCTTCTCTCTCTCCCCCTTTCCCCCCCACACCTGTATTCTTCTTTCAAGCCTTTATTAGCTTGGCTTTGCTCTTGAGTCTTCCATATAGTTAAGCCATCCTTGAATTCCTGGTATAAACTTTCTTTAGATAAAAAAATAATACTCCATGACCATCCCTGGATTCAAGTTGTAATTTATTATTATTTAAATTAGGATTTGTATAACTGCTCATCAGTGAGATTCACCTGCATGACAACAAGGTTGTACCAGCTTCATAGCATAAATTGATGAGTAGTTATCATTTTCTATTTTCTACAAGATTTAGAAAACATATAGGAAATACCTGTTCCTTCAGTTTGATGAGATTTTATGTCTGTGAAGAGATTTTTGTATGTCTGTCCATATGCCCATTCAGATGCTCTATTTTCTCTCAAGTCAACTTTGTTTTTCTCAAAAGTATCCGTGTCTTCATTTTATTTGTAGTAAAATCAATAGATTTTCAAATCACAGCAGATTTTTCATTTCTAAATACCTTATCCATTATTTTATTTACCAATCTTGCCAAAGGTTTATCTATCTTATCAGTTTTCCTAAAGAACCAGTTTTTGTTTCAGTTCATCTTTTCTATTGGTTCTTTGTTTTGTTTTTAATTTTCACTCTTTCATTTGTGAAATTTCACTCTTTCATTATATATAAATACATAGAAAGAACTCTGGAAATACATATACCAAATTGATGATAACATGATAATAATTACCTCTGAGTAGGAGAGAAATGGGTGTTAGTGAAGGAAGACTATTACTTTTTATCTCATAATAACTATTATATTTTTGAACTTTTAAAATGAGAATATATCTGCATTTTTTTTCTGTAATTAAAAAAGAAACAAGTAAAAGCAGGATAACTGTGGCACTATAATGACCTAGTTTGTGCAACGAGAATTCAGATAACATGGCATGCAGCTGCCTCTGCCATTTGGAGAGCTCTGCAATGGCAAGAATAATCCCTTTTTTCTCTCTCAGAGTCCTAACATTTTTATTGTGACATTTTCTTTTGTTTTTGATGGCACTGCAGTTTAGTCTGACTGAACCTAATAATGATAGGAAATGACATTTCATGGATTTAAAAATAAGTCTCTGTAATGACACTGCCACTTCAGGAGCAATTTGGAGTCTTGCTCTTATGTTTTTCTAAGTCAGCATTTATTACCTGCTAATAATCTGTTGCAAAAATTAAAGGAAACCTCAACTGTAATTGGAGTTGGGAAGGCCTATCGAGGGAGCTATCACACCTTACCACTTGAGGTCAACTACCCCAAAAAGGAAGGCCTCAACTGCAGACCTCAACAGGAAGAAAGTCAACTACAGACCACAACACTTGACTACTTTAATACTCCAGCAGATTCTCCCCCTGCCCAGCAACAAGCCCAGCCAATGGAAACGTCACAGCTTAGCCAATGAGAAGCCACCATCACCTGAATTCTTACTTTCCTTTAATGAACTTTCACTTTTCTTTTGCTGACTTCTTTGTCCCGCCCTCCTTTCTATAAAAGCCTTCTATCTTGTATAACCCCTCGTAGCATCTCTCTACTTATTAGATGAGTTGCTGCTTGATTCATGAATCGTTTAATAAAGCCAATGAGATCATCCAATGTACTCAGTTAAATTTTGTTTAACTATAGAGGAGAGACTGTTCCATGAAATGACTGCTCTCTGTCCCTTGAGCTGGACCCAGGCTAGAATGGAGGTTGCTTTATGCAACCCCCCTTTAGAGGCTATCTGATCATCACGGATGTTCATTCTGATATAAATCGGTACCTCTCCCTTGCCTCCTGCTACATACTGGTCCCTGGAGCAGGTTATTATCCTGACCTGGTCAAGCATGTAAATTAATTTCCTGTACCTGGTAGCGCTGACATACCCATTGCTATTCCCCTTTTTATCCTATATAATTCTCTGGCACCAAGTGGCAGAGGGGTCCATTTTGTCTTGCAGCTGCAGAAGACATGCCTCAAATGTAAGTTTCCCTAAATAAACTCTATCAATTGCAAGCCTCTTTCTTCGGTCTTTCCCTGCCCTCCACTTATTGAGGTAAATTTTCAGTCTCGGGGCTCCTCCCTTGGTCTGCGTGTATGAATATCAACACGACATATGTTACCTATTTATTATGGGTTGAACTGTGGCTGCTGTTGCTCATTGTTTGACCTCTTACTACGATGGGAATTCCTCCGGGCAGGGCCTTTTCTGGTTTGTTCACTGATGTTTCCCACACCCCCAGAACGGAGTTGATCGTGGATATAAATACTCACTGTAATTCAGTCTTAGGACATAACAGAAGCCAACGGTGAATATGTTACAAAGCTCTGTCAATATTTTATATGGAAAGTCCTGACTCCCTCTTCCTCGTCATTTCCCCACCACTGCAGCTCCGGCCTTCACGTTGAGGCTGGGACTCCCAGAGTCCTCTCCCTTCAGGCTCTTTTCTCACGCTCAGGACCTTTGCACCTTTCCTCTCCCCGTGGCAGCGTCATCCAGCCTGGCCTCTGCATGCCCACTCCTGAGCCCTTGTTAATGGCCGCTCCAGAGCATGAGGAGGGCCCCATTTCCCTCTCTTTCCAGATCCTCCCTTTCTTTAACGGTGCCGTCCAGGTTCACTCTCCCATGAGGTACATGCAAGGTCTTAGAGTCACATAGCCGTGGATTTGAACCCGGGCTCTGCTGCATACAGCTGTGGGACCTAGGCCTTAAGTGCCCTTCTCTTTAAAACGGGTTTAATAATTGGGTCTATGTGGTGTAGCTGCTCTGAGGATTAAATGAGAATGTAGGCACAGTTTAGCATGGAACCTGAAATGTGCTATGTGCACACCACGCTCATTGTCTTCAACATGGAGACATGGGAGCCGGCTCTCCAGAGAAGTCCCTGGACACTGTCCTGGGCGGGTCTAGCCTGACACAGGGAGGCATGCCTGAGGGAAGGGAGGAGCAGGAAGGGAACTCAGAGGCAGACAGAAAACAAGACCAACCCAGGGCTCACTACCGTGGGAGGCCTGTAACCTCCCAGTCATGAAGACTTCGAAACTATGCTAGTCTTTCAGGACAAACGTGAGGCTCACTGTGACCAACTGCCACCATCGAGTCCTCTCCCACCCGGATGGCTCTGGCCACGTCTCTTTCCAAAGTGATCCTACTCTGCAGCTCATAGTCAACACGGTGCATTACCAAAATCAGTGGGTGATTATTAACATAAAGTATTTAGTAATTAAAACAATATTTATTAATAAATAGAAAGGTGGAAATGTATGACAAGAATGATTCTCACCTTCATAACAGTAATAATAACAGCTGACAATTATTTCGCTCTTACATCCATTCACAAACTCAGTAACAAATACTAGTATATGCATGTAACCAAGTGAACTTCTCGCAGACTTGGTGATCAGTAAGACATACCAAGGCCAAACGAGTCTCAACACAAATGGTACAGACTGAGGAACAGATGAGCCAAGCACACAGTCTCGGCCAAATTCAAGCTCTGAGATGCAGAAATGACCAGCTGCTCTAGCTGGAGCCGGTCGTCTGACATATATTTCTTCTCTTTAACTTCACTGCAAAAAGATTTTAAACCTCAACTCCCAAACAATTCAGTTATATTTTCATTAAATCTTGACTTGTCAGCTGAATCATTTCGATAACATCAGAAACAAGACAGTGAAAGGCATGCAGTATGGATTTTCAACATACCAGGTAGTATTCTTCCAACAAGAGCATCCAGTAGCCAAAAGGATTCTTCCTCATTCTTCGTGATAAGAATCAGATATCCCGCGATAAAATTCATTCCCTGAAATTAGAAAAATGAGAAACAGAAATCCATGTTGAGCTTTAAAACACCATAAGATTCTGTAATCGTTGGGCTGCTTACTACTAACTTCCCATTTCCCTTGCTTTTTCCTAAAACTTGCATAATTCTAGAATGACCTTTTAGTGCAACTTTGGTGATACTAAGGATCTGACATCTGGTGCATTTAGTCCACAAGAAAAGGAAGAAGAAGAAAATGATTACAAGAAACTCTTCTGAATACTGCCTTAGAAAACTAAAATAAAAAATTCTTCAACCTTTTGAAAGCAAGTTGCAATTGATTTCTTAAAAAAAATTAATCTAATAGCATGAAACTCTATATCAGAGGGGAAACTACACCAATAGCCATAGTTCATAAAGTCCATAAGGAACATGCTCTGACACACAAGAATGTTGAAAGAGATTCTTGTGATCGAGGCTGTTTGGGGAAATTCATGGCCAAAGGGCAGATGTTGCTGAAATACTCGACGTATGTGACTCTCTTATCTAAGAGAAGCAGCTAGATGAGGGAAGACCAAGGGAGGTGGGCGCTTAACAACAGTGAGTTAGTGTCATCTCTGGGTGACACGGTTTCAGACTATTTCTATTTTTCTCTTTGGCTTGCCTGTATTTTCTAAAATAAGTATGTATTTCTCTAATAATAAGGGAAAAATCCAACTTTTGTCAACCAACAAGGTAAGTATGGACACGGAGACACCAGGCCGGGAGACCACCATGTGAGCAGGAAGGCAGAGATTGGGTGAGGTGCTTAAAAGCCAAGGATTGCCCGAGACCAGAAGCTGGGGGACGCCTGGGACAGAGGCCCCCTCACAGCCTGCGAAGGAACCAGCCGTCCCACACCTCCATCTCAGACTTCGAACTCAGTGGGAGACGATTCCTGTTGTTCACACCTCTCAGCTTACAGCGCGTTGTCATGGCAGCCCCAGGAAGCTAATACAACATGTATGTGTGTATCTGTGTGCTTGTGTGTAGTGTGTGTGCGTATCTGTGTGTGTGTTTGTGTGTACATATATATTCCAAAAGCCAACATAGATTCTACAACATGTATGTGTGTATCTGTGTGCTTGTGTGTAGGTGTGTGTGCGTATCTGTGTGTGTGTGTGTGTTTGTGTGTACATAGATATTCCAAAAGCCAACATAGATTTGAAAAGCCAATAGAGTGTTGACATCATGCTGATATTTAAAATTATGTGGTTTATTTTTTAAAGCCATTTTAAAAACCCACAAGAACTGTACCTAGAATACTCTTAGGACAATTTCTCAGCCCTCCTGCTTCCCCTTCTGAGAAAGGCAGGTGGAGTCCTTGTTTCAGGACAAGTTAATGACAGTAATAAAAGCTGAGAATGACAGGAATTCTGTCTGGAAGAATGGGCCCATCCCAGCTCCATCTACTTGAAGGCACTGCCTCCGGGCACCAGAGCAATATGAACACACTGATGAATTATTCAGGTGAAGATGAGCAGTAACTATGATGCCTCTTTTGAAAAGGACCTGCCTCACTCCTTCTCCCATTTCCTCTCTGAGCCCCGAGTCACAACACATGCTGACCACGCAGGAATGCAAACTGCAAAGCACCCCCGGGCCCCCCTGCACAACCATTTGTTCAAACCTTAGGAAGGACCCAAACTCCCCTGGCTCCCCGGCCTGTATGACCCACTCTGGAGCCCTGGACCCTGACTTTTGTTCAAACCTTAGGAAGGACCCAAACTCCCCTGGCCTGTATGACCCGCTCTGGAGCCCTGGACCCTGACAGTTAGGTGTATACTTCCCATCAAGATGGGCTTGGCCTGGGCGTGGCTCAGGGGTTGAGTGTCGACCTATGAAACAGGAGGTCACGGTTCGATTCCCGGTCAGGGCATATGCCTGGGTTTCGGGCTCGATCCCCAGTGTGGGCTGTGCAGGAGGCAGCCAATCAATGATTCTCTCTCATCACTGATGTTTCTCTCTCTCTCTCCCTCTCCCTTCCTCTCTGAAATAAATAAAAATACATATTTTTAAAATATATATTTTATTGATTTTTTACAGAGAGGAGGGGAGAGGGATAGAGAGTTAGAAACATTGATGAGAGAGAAATATCGATC